CTCGGCCTGCCTACACCTCTGCCCCTTCATCATCCCCTTTCCTCCTCTGACCGCAGTGTGACATATTAATTTTAAGTAAGAGCACATCCACATCATACAGGGAGTGAGTCACTGCCTTTCAATTCTCTTTCCCGTGTTCTGCTTCATCAAGGACAAAGCCTCATCTGGAAGCGGAGGGGGCTGACACCTCTCTCACGTTCGTTCATCTCCTTTTCTAAAACACGGTGCTGAGAAACACACAACACAAATGTACCATCTTACCTACTTTTAAGAGCTGAACCAGTGTCGTGTCTACATTCACCCAGTGGCACGCCCTTCCCTACGCTCCGTCCTCAGAACTTCCATCTTGCAAACTGAAACCCACTAAAAACTCCCGGTGGCCCTCTCCCTCCCCGGCCCTGGCAACCACCCTTCTGCTTCCTGCCTCTAGAATCCGAGGGCCCCAGGACCTCCTGTACCTGGAATCGCCACCTGACCTCTTGATTTAAGTAGGAGATCAGGCCTCGAGGCCATGACCTGCCTCTGGCCTGCAGTTATAAACACTCACCGCTTCCCTCTGCTTTGTGGTGTCGTGCAGGGGTGGGTGGGGTGGGGGACGACACGTGGGGGACAAGTAGGTCTTTCTTTTCAAACAGATTTAAGGAAATACAACATGCAGCGAGAGGCTGGGGGTGGAGAGGCTCTGAGACAGCGGCCCAGGGCGGGAGGTGGGGAGGTGGGGAAGCCCCAGCCTGCAGTGCAGAGGCCCCGTGACCTCCAGACCAGCCACACCTGGGCCTCAGCACCCTCAGCACAAGGATGTGCCCCACGTGGCACACCGGCCTCCCAGGCGGCCCGTCACCATCCGGGAAGCACTCTGGGTGCCTCTCACCTTCGCCCCCATCCGCTCACCCACCTGCTCAGCCAAACTTGCCGTCCAGACGCTGTGCCGCCACCGGGGATGCTCGGGCCTCTGGGCCTGGGTTACTCCCAGTCCACCCACTCCTTGCTGCCTCCTCCTCTCCTTCCTGTTTAGGGAATGGGGACCCACCCTCATCCGACACCCCAGCGAATTCGGGGGCAGGGAGGGTCCTCAGGGTCAGACAACCACAGTGGCCAGGTTGACCCCTAAAGGAGGACACGGGGCGAAGCTGTCCTCCCCACCCCGTGGGCCACCGCGTCGGTAGCGACCTCTATTCGCCCCCCTGTTGGCAGGGAGTCCTGCTCACTTCCTGTCTACCTGCCCACCCCCAGGGGGAGGTGTCCCGGGAGCTCCCGGAGGGCGGGGGACGCGGGGTCGGGTCGGGGTCAGGGTCAGGAGCTGCGCGATGCAAGCAGGTGACAGAGGGCGCGGCCAGGGGGCGTCAGGATCCGGGGGATGGAGACGAGAGCGTGTCCCGCTCCCAGAGGCTCCCAGGTGGGCACGCACCTGCCGAGCAGCAGCCATGGCCCGGCCGCGCATGCGCGATGCCCAGCCGCGGGAGACCCAACCTCCGTGGCCTGATACATACACACACCGGCACAACGGCTCCGGCATCTGGAAGGTTCTAGGGGCCTGGTCTTGGGCTGGACGGCGCCCAGGAGCTCGGTGACCGACAGCTGCCTCCCCTTCCTCCGCCTCCGCGCCCCTCGACCCCCGGGGACCCGCGTCCCTAAGGCTGGGCACCTCGAGCGGCAAGATGGCCTCCGGGTAACAGACCCACTTCCGGGCAGCATAGAGACCCACCCGGGAGGTTCTTATTGGCCCAGCGGGGGTCACGTGCCCTCCCCTGAGCCAATCACACGGCCGGGAATGGGCGGCGCCCATTGGCCAAGCCTCCCGCACCTGCAAAGCGCAAAGCCTCGTGCTTGGAGGAAAACATCCCGCGAGGGAGGCGCGCAGGTGGGGAGGGCCTCGTGGGAACGCGGTGGTCGGCCTGGGACCCTCGGGACCCTGGGGACCCTGGGGACCCTGGGGACCCTGGGGACCCTCGGGACGGAGCGCTTGGGCCCCCCCAGGGCGGGCGGGCGGGGTGGGAGGAGCTGGTGCGCTGCCTGTGCGTCCTTCCATCCTTCCAGGGTGTTCCACCAGCCGTCCGCCCCGGGGACCCTGAGCTCAGCACGGAGTCCGGAGTGTGAGCCGCCGCCGCTGCGCTGCCGCCTATAAAGCGTAAAGGGCAATTTGAATTTTCATTGGAATTTTTTAACTGATCACAGCCTTCCGCCTGAAGACGTGGGACTGCACTTGCTCCCCCGCGAAGGGAGGGCCACGCCGCGCCGGGACCACCCATCGGCTGGCCAGCGCGCCCCCCACGGAGCCCATAGCCCCGTGACGTTGATGGGAAGCCCGACCTGCGGAGCAGCCACGGGGCCCGGACGTGGGCTGACCTGGCAGGCCCGGGCTTGAGAGAGGACAGGGGCCAAGCCCCCGGGGCCTTCCCACCCTCGGGTTCCCTGGCACCGGGTCCTGCTCCTCCTGCCTGGCCCCGGCCTCACTGCTCACACCGGTGCAGCCAGTCTGACCTCTCTTCTTCTGGGATTCCCGTGCTTAGCGCACAAGATGCCCCCTTCCCGCCGCCACCGCCCCTCTTGGCTCAGCCAAGCGGCTCTAGGTGCCCAGCTCTGCCTGAGAGCAAGGCCTGGGCCAGCCGGGCTTCCAGCACAGCCCACACCTCCCCTGGTCAACCCGGGGTCAACAACCCCAGCCCCCAGCACTCTGTAACTTTCCATACGTGCCTCTGTGGGACTGCTGACCGTTCTGCAGCAGCTGCCCAGGTGCACACGACGTCAGCAGGGGGTCCTGGGCCACTGAAGGCTATCTGGCGGCCCCAGGTTAAGGGGTCCTCTCTGGGAAGGACTTCCCAGAAGGACTAACTTCTTAGTCCTTCTAACCCGGCTACTGTTCTTACCATGTATTAAGCTCCTCCGATGCCCTTTATACTTTATAAGCAATAATGATTGTTAATACAGGACACTCACTATGTGCTAGATACTATTGCAAATGCATCGTGGGTATTAATCCACTTAGTCCTCACAGCATCCCTGGCGGTTAAGGTGATTAGAATCTCCCCCCATTTTACAGATGAAATTGAGGTCTGAAGAGGTTAAGGAGCTTTTCCAAAGTCTCATTGTGGAGTGATACCCTCTCTAGCCAGCAGCTGGTTTTCTAGGTCAATCTCCAGGCTCCCTCAAGGCCTGCGTCCAGAGCTTGGATGCTCTCACCCTGATCCAGGCAGCCATAGAATGAAATGAAACCAAACAGCCGAAGGCGAGCTACCCCAGACAAGTGGCCAGCAGTAACTTCCGGGGACCCCAAGCCTTGCTGCAGCCTGTTTCCACAGACGTCTTTTCAATTGCCTCTCTAAACCCATTCCTCCTTCTGACCTAGGTGTTGCTTCCTCCATGGAGCCTTCTTGGTGTCCACGAGTAGGCTGGATGCCCTTTCCTGCCACCACTCCATGTGGAGTGCTGGCTCCTAGAAGTTTCCCTTCCCAACCCTTATCACTCAGCCCTTATCACTACAACTACCAATCTGCATAGCCGCCTCCCTTCCAGACTGGATGTTCCCAAGTGGGCAGGGATCATTAAAGTCTTACTTTGTTTTAAATGATTTTTTTTAAAAAACAATTATTTTTATTTTTGAAATGAACATACACTCAGGAAAGTGCATAAATCCTAAATGTAGGGCTCGATGAATTTTTACATACGCAACCACGCATCCAGATCAAAGCATAAACACATGGGAAGTGCCCAGGAGGTTCCCTGGGTCCCCTCCCGGTTATTAACCCCACCCCAGGAGTAACTGCTGGTTTCACACTGTCGCTATAGTTCTGCCTTTTCTGAAACTTCAAATAAATGGAATCACACAGTAATACTTTTCTGTGTCTGGCTTCTCGTGCTCATGGTTACGTCTGTGAGATTTCTTCATGTTGCTGAATGCTCCAGCGGTCTGTCCTTTTTACTGCTGTGCAGTATTCCACTGAATGAATATACCAAATCTCTGTGTCCGCCGTACTGTTGATGAGCGCGTCAGCTAGGAAAAGGAACATCTGGAACTCTCATTCTCGCTGGTGGGACGGTAAGTTGCTACCATCACTAAGGAAAAGTCTGTGTCTATCATCGATAACAATGATATGGGATGATATCTGTAATACTGACATATGTCGTATTCATCATTGTCATATATCTCTCATTTACTGAGCACCGAGTGTGCACCAAGTCCCGGAAGCTGTATCACCCCAATCCTCATAATCACCCTAAGAAGTAGATAGTTGCCTTCTTTGAAATAGCACTATGGTAGCAGCAACACGATGGGATCGTCATGAAGTTGAACACTCTGAAGGACTGAGTCCAAAGCTGACGTTTTGGAAATGCCGTTCGTGGTACCTCTTATTGTTATTACGGAAGGACACGGGGCCTGGAGCCCCGGAGCCTGCGTTCATGTCTCCCTGAGATAACCTGAGTGAGTCATCTCAGCAGCCTTCAGCTCCAGGCCCCTGGAAGGCCGACATCTGCTGGCAGGGACTTCCGGGGATGACACAGGGCACACTCTTCAATCAGACCCAGGCTCTCACTTCAGGAAGATCCTTATGTTTGGGGGGTGGGGGTGGGGGGCGGAATGGCGCATCAGGAAGGGTCTTGGGAGTGTTTGGGAGCCCTGGGCGACATGCCCACATGCCGCTTCTGCCAAGTTTAGTTCAAAGGTACTTTCAGGTGATGCTCTCGTTGCCCTGGAAGGTCCACAAGGGCTCGGTGGCCGTATGCTCCTCAACAACTCACCCACAGAGATGAGCAAGTGTCTCCCTCCCCCACCCGCACCCCCACCCGCACCCCGGGACTACTCTGCCCAGAGCTGGGGGCTGCAGCCCGGAACTCCCGGGAGGCAGAGGGACAGCGAGCGAGCGAACAGGGAAACCCAGGAGGAAACGCACGAGGCTTCTGGCGGCAAGTTGGGTGAAGGACACACAGCGGGGCAGGAGGTGGAGAGGAAGTGCGGGGCGCGGGGAGCTGCAGACTCCGTGTTCACCGGAGACCCTGAAGTTCTAGGGAGGGAAGAGCAGCCCCGAGGGCGTGTGCGCAGCGCAGGGCAGCTCCCGCCGAGGTGACAGAGGACGTGGGGGAGGACGTGGGGCAGCGGCTGCCAGGGCACCGGTGCGGCGGAGGCCCGCGGGCGACGGAGCTCCAGGGGAGCCCTGCAGCCGGGCCGGGAGCCCGACGGGCGCCACCGGGAGGGCTTTCAGCCAGAGGGGCGGCCCGCGCCCCGGGGCCCCAGCCGCGGAGGAGGTGGCGGGAGGGGCCCGCAGGGGGGCGCCGGGAGGTCGGCTCGACGCTCGACGAGTGACTGCAGGAACCGGCGCGCTCGGAAGGACGGGCGGACGCGCGGCCAGGAGCAGCCCGCGGTGCCGGCCCAGGTCGTAGGCCCGCGACCAGGCGCGGTGACCTTGGGCACAGGCCCGCCCCGGCTGCCGGCCCGGAACCCTGCGTCTCGGGGGCGGGGAGGACGTGCCGGGAGGGGCAGCGCGCGGCGGGGCGGCGGGGCGGCGGGGCGGCGGCCGGCGGGACCCCCGCTCCCCGCGGCCCGGCCAGCACCCGCGGCCCGGCCCGCACCCTGCCGCGCGCCGTGTCTACATCCCCCGCGGGCCGGCCACGCGGCCTCCCGCCGCCCCTCCGCCCCGCAGCCGCGAGCCCCGGCCCCGCCCCCCGCCGCGCGCGCCAGCCGGCCTCCCGCGTCCCGCGCCCAGCCGCACCTCGCGCCGCGCAGGCCCGGTGGCTTGGCCCCGCCCCTCCCCGCGCAGGCCCCGCCCCTCCCCGCGCAGGCCCCGCCCCGGCCCTCCGGCGCGCAGGCCCCGTCCGCAGGCCCCGCCCCCGCCGCCCCCGCCCACCGCAGGCCCCGCCCACCGCAGGCCCCGCCCCCGCGGTCCGGAGCGCCTCTGCGGGGCTGCGCGGCGGCGGGGCGGGCCTGCAGGCGGCGGCGGGGCGGGCCCGGGCCCTGGGGCGGCCGCTGAGGGGCTCGGAGCCGGCCGGGGCGGGGCGGAGGCTGGCGGGAGGGCGCGAGGGCGGGCCGGGGGCCGGTTCCGCGCGCAGGGATTTTTAAATGTCCCGCTCTCGGCCGGGCGCAGGAGCAGCCGGCTCGGCCGCCCGCGCGGTGTAGGGGGCAGGCGCGGATCCCGCCACCGCCGCGCGCTCGGGCCGCCGCTCCCGCCTCCCGCCTCCCGCCGCCGCCGACGCCGCCGCCGCCGCCGCCGCGGACAGGGCTCGGTGAGGGCCGGGCCGGGCTCCCGGGGCTCCCGGGGGGGGGGGGGCGAGCCGGGCCCGGGCGCGGCGGGGTCGCGGGGTGGCCCCGGGACGGGCCGGGGCGGCCGGGGGGCGGGGGGGCGGCGGGGCCCCGGGCGCGCTGCGGACCCGGCGCGGCGGGTGACAGGCCCCCCGGGCCCATCGGCCATTTTCCCGGCCGGCCCGCAGCCTCCCGCCGCCGCCGCCGCCGCCCGCGCGGGGGGAGGGGTGTCCGGGGCGCGCGGCCGGCCCTGCCCCCGCCCGCGCCCCGCGCCCCGCGCCCTGACCCCCCGCCCTGACCCCCGCGCGGCTTGTGCCCCCAGGGCCCGAGACCGGCCCCGCGTGCCGAGCCCGCCATGCCGAGGGAGCGGAGGGAGAGGTGAGTGCCCCGTGGCTGCGCGGCGGGGGGAGGGGCGCCCAGGCTGCCAGCGCCCGCCCTGACCTCCGTGCCACCCGGCCGGCCCCGCAGGGATGCGCAGCACCAGGACCGGGACACCATGAAGGACGACGCTGGCACCGACGTGTCTGTGCGCTCCAGGAAGAGGAAGGCAAACGTGGCCGTTGTGAGTACAAAGGAGACAGGTGGGGGAGGAGACCCCCTCCCCGGGCTTACCTGGCCTTACCTGGCGGGGCTACCCCCCCCCCCCCCCCCCCGCCCCGGGGCCCTGCCTCCCCGCACGGATTGGGGTGGTGGCACTGCCTTGGGCCGCAGCGGGGCCCGCAGCCTAACCGACGTTCTCTCTCTCCTCTCTCTGTGTTTTTTGTCTTTGGACCGTCTGGTGTGTTTCCTTGGGGGCTGGGGGTCGCCCTCCGTTAGTTTTTGCAGGATCCGGATGAAGAAGTTGCGAAGATTGACAGGACTGCGAGGGGCCAGGGCGGCGCGCAGGTAGGTTCCCATGCCCACCGGGCCTCGGCCCACGGCCTGCTGCGCTTTGTGCTCTAGATGGACGCTGGGTCCCCGCTGCCTCCTGCTGGAGGCGCTCGTCTGCCGGGGGCCATGGTGCTCATCTATGGGCTGAGGCCTGGCCCGTCGGTGGCATTGGCCTCCGCCAGCCCTGGGACCCCAGGAAGGCGTTGGGTTCCTCATCTGCACCTCCGAGGTTACAGATAACACGCTGATGTCCCGAAGAACCAGAGTGGACATCAAATAACTCAGTCCTCTCCTTCTGCCCTTGAGGAAACTCAGACTCAGGGCAAGAAAGTGACCCAGAGTCCTGTGCAAGCCAAGGGCGGAGTCCATCCCGGAGCCCTGTCTCTAGGCGGGGAACTGGGGGAGGGCTCCTGACACAGAGCCCTCCGGCGACTGTGATGCGGCGGTTTGTGTGTGTCCATAAGCGACCCCAATTCTCCCCGTCCCCGCTTCTGTCTTTCGGTCCTGGTGCTAAGGACCTCCCTTCCCCCCGCCACCCCGTGAGCAGCAGGTATGTAACTTCCCCCCCTTCTGGAGGTCCTCAGCCCGTGTGTCCCGCAGTTACCTGCAGTGAGGACTGCTGTCCGGGGCTCCGCCTGGCCTCTGCCTCTAGAGTATCAGTGGAACATTCTCTGTGATGATACCTGTGTCTCAACACATTTTTTAAATTGACTAGTCCACTTCTCTTGCCTCTCCGTCACGGAGTTGCCGCCAAATTTCCTGCGTGCTCGTGATATCGTTACAATATCAGCAGTTCCTAGCAGAAAAAGCTCGCGTTATCTTCCTCCCTCCAGAAATGGCTGGGGACTGTAGTTATGGCTCCAGTAGGGGAAGCAGCCTATCTCCAAACCAGCGGGTCAGGCCTTCTGACCCTATCACGGAGAAAAGCTTGAGTGGGAATAGTATCTGAGCAGAGGGCTCTGGTCCCAACTAGGTTAGCAGTGGGCAGCACGTCGCTGTGTTGGGCACTGAGCAACAGCTGTGGCAGCTGGTTCTGGCAGAGTGAAGGGCTTTGAAGCAGTGGGTGTGCAGGAAGAGTTGTCGTCCCTGCACGTAGACCCTGGAAATGAGCATTTCTGGGGAGATCGACCTAATATCGAACAAGGGGTTGATGATTTCCTTCTCATTAGATGAAGAAATACTTGCCTTTAGGGAAGGAAATAAGACATTCCTTTCTTTTCTTTTCTTTTCTTCTTCTTGAAAAAACAAAAAACAAACAAACTTTAAGCAGGTTGATTTTCATGAGCCGTGGTAAAATGGCTCTCCACTTTGTGAATCTCGGGATTGCTTATTTTCCCAGCTGTTTTCGGAATTGAAATTTCTGAGAGTGAAGCGAAGGCGTCCATATCCACTTGATGGAGTAGTTTGTTCTCCCGGAGGATCGGAGCAGTGCTAGGGTGCCTAAAATCGGGCTGTGGGCCTGTCCCCAAAGTGTGCACATTGATAGCTGTGGTATTTAAATACTCCACCATTTCCCACTAACGAGAAGGAGTTTTCCTGGTTGTTCAGAGATTAAGGACAACAGGTTTCTGTACGTTTCGTAGAGCAGATAGCTTGAAGATTGCCCATCTATCTATGGAGCGCTCGTTCTGGTTTTTCCCCCTGTAGATTCATGAAGCTAGAAGTTTGGGGTGACACAATTATCACACGGAGTTTTTGTCAGGAGTTCCAGTTCAGCCCAGTACAGCGGCCTGGAGCTACTTGTGGCGCATTATGCTAAACTCCTTATAACTGCTTCGTCAGGACACAGAGAACCTTTGAGTGTTACCTTAGGCCTTTCCTAAGCAAAAGACTACCCTTTTATCTGCAATCCATTCAGCATATCCGTTTTGTTGTTTGACTTTTCGCAGGAGACCCACCTTTTTAATTGAAGTGAAATCCTGGACTTTGTAGTAGTTACTTCTCAGCACCTGATTCTACATAGGTAGTCCTGTTCTTAGTTAAAAGTGGCATAAGGGGTCGGGGGTGTTTAGAAATAGTCAAAATTGGGGTCTTGCTCTTATCCGGGTCCTTCCTAAAGTCGGATGGATCTGGCCTCTTTGAAACCCAGCGTAAACTCGAGACTTCGACTTCATTATTGTGCCTCACGTGCTGGATCCTAAAGGGTCCAGGTTTCCGAACCACTTGTGGCTTGTGGGTCATCCAGTCTGTCTGTGCACTGCGGGTTGGGAACTGCTGCCATTTTGTCCTCAAAGGCTGCTCTCAGCCCTTTCAGCCATCTGGCTTGGAGGGTGGCACCCAGCTTCTGCCTTCACAGCTAGAATTCATTCTCGAACGAAGAGCAGCTTGAAGCAGTTGTAATGTGACTCGTTTTGAGTCAAGGAAATGCTACCAGCACATGAGACTAGAGCTGGAAGGGGAGGTTGCCCTTCTGGAACAGCTGTTGGCAGGAGTTGTCATGGTTAATTTGCATGCCCAATTCTCTGCACCCTGGGTGGGGAAGAGCTTCATCCTGCCTTGCTCTTCTCAGCACGCTGAAAGTGCTCTGGCCGCCTCTGAAAGTGGCCGGTGTGCTGTGCGCGCCCCACCACCGTATCCTCCAGGCAGCACCTGGAGCCCACATCCCATGCTCATTTCTAATTGTCCCGTTTCTTCTCTGGTCAGCCTTAATGAGCTGTCTGCTTTAAAACAAAAGGCCAAGAGTCTCAGACTTCCACAGGACTTCCGTGCTGGCGGGATTGTTACTTGCCGCACTGTCCACAAAATCACTCTTACGACTCAAAAGAAAAAAAAAAATCCATCGTAGCCTTCTTTTCAGAGTAGGACAATAAACAGAGCAGCTTGAAAAAGAAAACTTTGTAAGTGGCAAAAGGACCTACTTTCCAATAGGTCCAATATTTTCCAAATACTGGAAATCGAATAAAATTAAGTACCTAGAATCTTTGAAAGGAAAGCATATTGTTTGCGTTTTTAATGATGGTTTATTCCCTTATCAGTTCTTGGATCCTCATTCCATGCAAGACTTTGGGGGCAGGATTCAAAGGTCTTCAGGGGTATCTGGCTTCTATCTCCACGGACTTCTTAGTATATCCTGTGACCATTCCTGGATTTGGTTTTAACTAGGCAGATATTCTTTTTGTTTTGTTTTGAGTTAAGGAAAACAAAAGGTCCTCGTTATGTAATATATGAGGCTAGTCTTGCAACCAGGAGTTGTCACATTTGATGGTTTTACGTCTTAAGATGGGGACACTAAATATAGATGGTAATTTACATTTTTGGTCTTCACGCTTGTGAATGTGCGGTGCGCATGTAAATATACTTTTATTGGAATTCTTTCACTTTTAAGAAGTTTTGGTAGATTCGTTGTACCTGTTAAATAAAAAAAAAAAAAAACAAATCTCTGAGTTGTGACCAAATAATCCCACAGCATACCTCAGAGGTTATGCCCAGTTTCTTACCGAGCTGCAGGTGGATTTGTATAGGTGGTGGTGGTGTCGGTTTTTGTACTCCTAAGAGCTGTTTGCATTTTGTCTTAATCCCTCCTGGGTCCATCTTCCTGCTCAGGTAATGGTTTGACAGCGACAGCGTGGAGGATAAAATGCTACTGACTTTGTAGTCGTCTTAGATACTTACTGCATAGACTCCTAAGCCAGTGGCAAGTGAAACGAAAGCTTGGAGTCCTTACTGTGGCTTTTACTTACTCGTTCCATCTTCATCCTCATTTAGGCCAGAATAGGTATTTAGGCCTGGCGATTGCTCTCTAGTGTGAAGATATTTTCTGTTTTACTGGCTGTTCTACAAATCACTGAATGTACACCTGGCTGGTTCCCATCAAACATTTGAGAATGTGTGTTTTCTTCTACAGCCTTGGGACGATAATCCCGCATGTGAAAACCCCTGCTCCTTGATTCCCACACCTGACAAAGAAGAGGATGAGCCAGCATACCCAGGTTCCGTGTGTGGACCGCAGAGCTTCATGCCCTCCAGAGCCTCGCCGCTGCCTCTACTGAAGTAAGTTGCCTGCCACGTGCCTTCCAGGTCTTTTGCTCCTTGTGCACAATCTCACCAAGTCAGTGTGGACGCGTAGTGACGCCTACTTCTTGTGTTTCACTTGGTTTTGTTTCTTGTAGCTGGGCAAATAGAGACGAGGTCTGGAAAATTATGCTAAATAAGGAAAAGACATACTTACGGGATAAGCACTTTATGCAGCGGCACCCCCTCCTGCAGCCCAAGATGCGAGCGATTCTTCTGGATTGGTTGATGGAGGTGAGCTTGAGTCTTCCTGCCGACTGGAAGCATTGACCACTTCTAGAACCTTCTGGGCTTTGATGACCTCTTTGTGTGTCTTACCCCATTGACACTTTTCTGTGTCTCCCAAGTACTACTCTTTTGCTTGGGTTCTTCCGTAGAAGAATTTCTGAAGTCTCTTTACCTCTTAGATATTTTGAGGTTGGCATTTAATTTTTTTTCTTCCAAGTTCAAATAATTACAAAAGTTCTCTTTTCCACTGAACTGTAAATATTGATATTTGGTCTTTAATTAAATTGCTTTTGAATCTATCCGGTGGAATGCAGATAACAGCTGTTTGATAGCCACTATCATAAGTTTTAAAAATACATGAACAGGCTTATCTTTAACAGTCAGAAAGCTTACATTGTTCTTTTTTAACTCCTTGGAGTCCATTTCTCTTTCCCCACGGAATAGCATCGGAAAAAAAAAATAATGTATTCAGATCTTTTATTTCTCTGCAACAACTGGTCAAAAGGACAAGTATGACAAATGGTGATGGATAATTGTTAGACATCAAAAGCTATTGTATGGGCAGTGTGCCTCTCCTGAGAGGACGCGTGCGTGACCCAGTAGTGCCTGCAGGGGCACCGGGGGGCACCGGGAGCCTTGGGTGGTGGGATGTGGGCTTTCTTCTGTGATGCTGAAGGACTTCTCAGGCAGCTCCGTCTTATGAAAAAGGAAGGACATAAGGAAGTTGAGTGTCCGAGTATTCCCTAAAAACAAACGCGGTTAGGTACTGTTTGGAAAGCCTCTGCTCCCGGGCTCTGCGCACCCCCGTTAATGCCCATCGTAGGCTCAGATCCCCCGCTGCCAACTCGCTGGGTATGGGTCTTTGTCAGGCAAGTCATTTAATCTAGAATCTTGGTTTTCTCATCTGTAATATTTTCTAGCAGTATTTTCCTTACAGAGTTTGTACGGCCCAGACGTGGTATGTGTGAACTGCAGCGTATGTGGTTGGCGAGAAAAGACGGCTCTTCTCACCGTTCCTAATCTGCTTGTCTTTTCGTTATTGAAAAGCTAACATTTTCTGTACTGAGCTCTTTGGCAGGCCTGCCTACTTGAGACTCCAGGCCTCACACGTGCCCTTCTGGGCCCCCGGAGACGTTTTATAATCCCTCGAAACAGTAGATGGAGGATGCTTCACTCTCCTAGGTGGCAGCTCATTGGACGTTGTGACCGAGAAGTTCTATTTTCTGTACCGCGGTTGATGCCGTATACTTTAAGGAAGGTTTTTCTCAGAGATCCAACCAAAGAAAGTCATGGTAATACCACTGAGAGGATAGGCCAGAAGGGTAACCTTTGGGTGCTCGGTGGGACGAAGCTGCAGGCGTGTCGACCGTGAGCCGGGCGACGGGGGTCTGAGAGCTTGTCCCTGAGCGGATGGATGCTCCAGCTTCACTTCCGACCTCAAAGATGCCTCAGCTTGGACCTTAGAAATACTCTTTAGTGATTGATGGCATTTTCTGTGAAGGTTCTGTTTGCTGTTTCTCTGGGGCCTTTTCTCCCTGTTCGCCCCATGAGATGCAGCGGCACGCGGGAAGGCCTGTAGGAGCGGCAGTTTTCCGAGCGCAGTCAGACGTTCGTTGGTGGTGAGGAGTTGGGGCCCAGTGTTCCCTTGTCCTCCGCTCCCTCGCGGGCACCCCCCACCCCATCTCCGCAGTCCTGTGAGGTGGGCCGGGCAGGCACGGTCCTGGTGTTAGGGTTTGAGACCATCGTTCAGTCTTCCCATGAAATGCTCCTTCAGCCTATGAACATGGGCTCTTACCGGGATATCGATCACAGAACGTTTAATCCTTCTGTCTGAGCCCCATCCAGGTTTTCGCCCCTGCTTGTGCCCGGGGACAAGCAAGGTAACAGTCCTTTCAGAAAAGCAAAGTTCCTCTCTCTCGATTGGGTTCTCTGGTCCTTCACCAAAACTCGCGGCAACTTTTGTTTGTTGGCTTGTTTTTGTCCTTGTTCCTCAAGTAATTGTTCTAAGACTTATTAATATTTTTTCAGGTGTGCGAAGTCTATAAACTTCACAGAGAGACATTTTACTTGGCACAGGATTTCTTTGATCGGTATATGGCAACGCAACAGAATATTGTAAAAACGCTTTTACAGCTTATTGGGATTTCATCTTTATTTATTGCTGCCAAACTTGAGGTAAATCATTTTCAAATACTTGTTACGTGGCACACCTTGTTTCTTGAGATCCCCTGAGATGACCGGAAGAGGCCAGATGCTTGTCTGCGTTTTTCTAATTCGAGGTTGTCTGAAGTATAAAGACACGTGCAGAAAGGGCTAGAAATTAACCAAGAAGTGAGACAAGTAGTGAGTGTATGAAACGCTTAGGTTAGTGTAGTTCCTGGTAGCCCCAAAATTGAACTTTGACCCAAGAGGACTACAATTCTGCTGTGATTAGAAGGGTGGATGGGCCCAGCTTTCAAACGTGTTGCTAAAGGCATTTAAAAGGTGACCATTTCAAAAATATGCCCACCGAGTCAAAGCTGTATTTATGTCTATTTATTGGTAACAGTGGGTGTTTCGTTTCTTTCCCAATAAATGCACTTTGATCAGTGGAGGAGCTCCTGTGTTTACTCCATGGATGTTCCCCGTCTCTTTCCAGGCTAGTGTACTAAAAACAGTAACTTTGGAAGTACGTTGTAAGTTAAAACTATTAGAGATTTTTGCTAATTGTTTCTCCCTTTTATTTCCTTTTAGGAAATCTATCCTCCAAAGCTGCACCAGTTTGCTTATGTTACAGATGGGGCATGTTCAGGAGAGGAGATTCTTAGCATGGAATTAATCATTATGAAGGTAGGTTACAAGTTAATTTTTCAGTCCTTTTTTTAAAATGCATACATAATATCTTTTCCACATTCCGTGTGAGTGCATCTGAGAGGAGTTCTCCCGCTGGACACATTGTGGCATGGAATGTGGCTGCGTTTTGAACTCCTTTAGAGGCCTTCGGGGAGCAGAAATGTCTTTTTCTTCTCTCAGCCATTGGTCTCCTTTCTCTCGGTTTTCCCTTAGGCTCTTAAGTGGCACTTAAGTCCCCTGACCATTGTATCCTGGCTGAATGTATATATGCAGGTTGCATATCTAAATGACTTATATGAAGTGCTCCTGCCACAGTATCCCCAGCAAATCTTCATACAGATCGCAGAGGTAAGCGGCCCCGCTCCCTTGGGGGCTACCTACCCCACTGTGAGCCTGAGGAGCCCTAGAAGGGATGGATGGTGGCCGGCTGTGTGCTTCAGCCTCTTTTCTGCTCCACAGCTTTTGGATCTTTGTGTCCTGGATGTTGGCTGCTTAGAATTTCCCTACGGTGTGCTTGCTGCTTCTGCCTTGTATCATTTCTCTTCGTCTGAATTGATGCAAAAGGTTTCAGGTACGTTGGCTTTCCGGTCGATTCACAAGGTGGATTAAACTTACAGACCGATTGGGCCTAAAAGTTACTTTCATTGCAGGGTATCAGTGGTGTGATATAGAGAAGTGTGTCAAGTGGATGGTGCCGTTTGCCATGGTCATTAGGGAGACGGGAAGTTCAAAACTGAAGCACTTCAGGGGAGTTCCCGCTGAAGACGCACACAACATCCAGACCCATATAAACAGCTTGGATTTGCTGGTCAGTAGTGTTCCTTCGTTCCCAGATAAACTCATAAAACTGCCTAACCAGCCTCTGCACGCCTCTGCAGGCAGGCGTCAGATAGGCTAGAAAGACCCCAGTCCTTCTAGTTCCTTGAAAAAGAAAACTTGCACTCAATAGATGCGATGCCTAAATAGCATGGAGACCAGAGACCTCGTCCATCGCTCCCTGCCGTTTGTTTCCCCCGCTGCCACAGAAGGGCACACTCAGCACGCCGAGCCCAAAGGATCGGGTCTTCCATTTTCACGTTTCTCGCTTTTATTCCCTACAGGACAAAGCCCAAGCAAAGAAAGCCATATTGTCTGAACAGAATCGGATTTCTCCTCCCCCCACCGGGGTCCTCACTCCCCCGCAGAGCAGCAAGAAGCAGAGTGGTGGGCAGGACACGGCGTGAGCACACCAGCACTCTCCACCAAAGACCGTTGGGCGGGCGCGCCGCTCCGAGTCCTCTGCCGCGCCGTGGCCGAGGCGCGCGTTAGCTTTTACGCTTATTTAAGTGGAAGAGCGCGTCTCTTCTGCAACCGAAGTGTTTCCGTGGATGGCATTGGACAGGGAGAAGTGTTTTTTATTGAATGCTTAGGTTTTTTTAAATAAGTGGGTCGAGTACACCAGCCACCTCCAGAACACCAGTGAGTGCTCCAGATGCTGCTAAGGAGGGTGATACTTGACTTGATTGACTATTCACGCAGATAACAAAGGCTTGAAGCTGCAGAGCGCCGTGTTGCGCTTGGTCTCCCCTTGCGTGTGCTGGGTTGTGTGCTGTTGAGCGGGGCTGGTGGTTGTGAGCGTTGTGATGTGGAAGCCCACACCCAGCGGTGCTGGGGGCCTGCCCTTTTCACACTATCCGTTGACAATGTATAATGCCTTTGATGAACTGTTGTTTTGTAAGTGCTGCTATGTCTATCCGTTTTTTAATAAAGATAACACTGTCTTTGAGACAGCTGGTTTTGTGAGCTATGTCTGATCATTCCGTTAGAAGTCATCTTCGAGTGTGGCTCTATCGAAGTCTCTTTTTTGATTTCATGCTTCTGAAAGCTCACACCTTTCAAGCAAATCTATTTAAAAGAAGACTTCTGAAGTGAGCCTTAGGTACAGCCTCCAATTTGGCCTTTCTTCCGCATTGCCCTGCGCAGAGGCTGCTCAGGTGGGGTTCGCGGGCGGGCCGCGGCGGCTTGAGAAGCGGTGTCTGCATCCAAGCGGATTCTTAGGTATCACCTCTGCCCTGCAACAGGCCCAAGGTCATACAGCCTCTGTAACTGGTGTTAGTACTGTCTTCGTCCTTACCCACGTCTTAACCTAAAGGACTTCTGTTTGGAGAATTTGTTGACAATGTAGGAGGCTTAAAACTATACTCCAAAGACGGAAATGTGAAATAGAATCCTAGAATCCTATGCAGCTCAAGGCCAGACGTCGCCGTGTGGTCTGGTCCCTGACCGCTGATGGAGTCCCCGAGTGCCTTGCTAACGGAGGAGGTCCCCGCTCAGCTCACACTGCATTTTGTCGAACATCCGCACAGTGGTCTTGTCGGCTTTTGTGTCTCACTTCCTTGCAATGGTTTGGTGTATGTACGGGTTCGTAAGAAGGGAGGGTGAATGAGCAAATAAATCCCACTTGTTTTCAACTTGGTGTTTTATCTCATTTTGTAAAACTCTAAAGAGGAAAAACAGCCATTTTAAATCATTTATGTGAAGCTGGAGGAGAGAGACCCTCCCTACTCCTTTACATTGTGATGTTACAGTTTGGCAAGTTTTATTTTTTAATGTATTTTTTATTTTTATTTTTTGAATTTTTATTTTTTAAGACTTACTTATTCATGAGAGACAGAGAGAGAGAGAGAGGCAGAGACACAGGCAGAGGGAGAAGCAGGCTCCCTGCGGGGAGCCCACGCAGGACTCCATCCCAGGACCCCAAGATTACGCCCTGGGCCGAAGGCAGACACGCTCAACCCCTGAGCCACCCGGGCATCCCTCTGGCAAGTTTTAATACAGTGTTCCTAATAAATGCATTCAATATAAATCTACATGTACTGGTATTTAGTCAAATGGTACTCCAAGCTAATTATTTCCTCATTGGAGGCAGAGATGCTCCCACCTTAAAAAGCAGGGAATTTTTAATGGTGACCCTGTGTAATGACTTTCTGGAAAGATCTTAAAAGTGGTTAATTTACATTTGGCATTTTGTGTGCAAAATTACGGCACTGAGAACATTTCGGTTTTCAAAGCCTTGGATTAGTTTCGGGGCTTGACACACGAGGGGACGGTGGTCTGAACGCAGGTCTGGGGTAACTCTTGAAACACGCTTTGGCCCTTGTGTCGCAGAGCGTGGCGGGACCTGCTGAAACGATTATGCAAACCTGAGAGTGCTGCATTTCTGGACATCAGGGCTCTTTGTTTTTGTTTTAGCAATGGCAGCGTTGCCACGGGCAGCTCTTGTCATCATCGCTGCTAATACAGGATCCGGCCTGGGTGGATGAGTGAATTCATAGTAACGCGTCCTGTGGCTCTGCCAGGAACCCTGACGGCCACTAGGAAGGAACACCAAGTTTCCGTGCTTCAAGGAGCTCTTCCTTTTGCCTTGTGCTTTTTCCTTTAGTCATCAGCACAGACGTGGGTCCCTCGCTGGTCGGCTCTGCATACGCATTTGCTAAGTCACTATCTTTGTTCTGCAATTCAGCTAAGCCCAGCTGAGGCCAGGTGATGCCGAACCGACGACATCAGGGTGAAAATGGGAGCTCTGGTCAACCTGGGTGAGCAGAGATGGTGAGCAGAAAGGCCCCAGAGAAGGGGGTGGCTTGGCCCCTGAGTGCGACTTCCTTGTGTTAGAGGAGAAAGAGCAAGTTATTGAACCGACGGTGAAGGCTGACTGGATCGCGGTCGAGCAAACCAGAGCAAACCACATCCTCGTGTCACGCCCCGGCCCACAGGTCCCTCGCCAGACCTCCCACAGGTGCTCCGTGTCTCCGTCCCCTTGCCGGAGAGCGAGAACGCCGGTCCTCGGGTAGGGGGTGTTGACGGCCTCCCAATGCCATGCTCCCCGGGGACCTGCACGGCTCTCGGGTGCGTGGATTTCACACCACGTGGCTACGTGGTGCCAAGGCTCACGCGGACGTTCAGCAGAGGAGTAAAGCTGCTGAGCCCTTTGAGATTTGGAGCGAGATGTACCCCGGGCCTCTCCGACACAAACGAGATTGGAGTTTATTCGGGCAAAATGAGGCTCTAGCTCAGAGCAGGGTTGCAAAGAGAAATCAAATCTGATAATGTCTAGTCCTATTTACCCAACCGTGCGTTTTCCTACCACATGCTCAACATTTTGAAATTCAAATCACATTTATACCTTGGACATTGTTAGGAGACTATTTTTATCCGTGCTGTAATCATCTAATTGGCTGATTACAGGTCTCAAATTGCCACAGAGAACTCAATTTTTGAAAGAATTGTCCTGTTTGATCAAATATGCTATTCAAGCAAAGCAGTCACTGTTGCACAAGGTTACCTGCCAGCCGGAGCTAACCAGGAGCAATAGCAGTAGCAGCCTACGCTTAAAATCGAGCATTAGCTAATCTGCCGGTGACAACGGAGCCCTAAATATAATTTGCCGCGGACACTTCAGTTCCCGCGCTGACAGACGACTGCATTTCGGGTTCAATGAGCACAGATTTTTCCTACCTCATCCCCATCCCTAACGTGACTCCCGGAGCCTGCGCGGCGCTCGGCTGCCCGGGCCCCCAGGGACCGTCCCCCGGGAGTCGGGGGAGGACGGCGCTGTCCCCTGTCCAGTCCTCGCCCCCTCCGCACCCGGCCCGCCCTGCCGCCTGCCCGGCCGACACCAAGTCCCCAGAATGGGCGGCACGGACCGCAGCGGGCTCAGCTGCTGGGGGCGGCCGGGCTGCGAGCGGGGGGCCCTCCCTTGGGAGCATTCCCCGCGGGGCACCCCAGCTCTGGAGGCGAAAGACTGCGGGGTGCAGCCGCGGGGTCAGGGGGCCGGGCCCGGGCTCCTGCTGTGTGTCCCCCTTCCCCCCCCACCCCGGGCCCTGAGTCAGCCAAGGAAGCAGGCGATGAGGCGGGGAGGTGACCCCGCGGCCCCGGCGGCAGGGAGCTGGGGGCCACAGCTCTGGGTGCCTGGGACCCGCCACATGCAGCCGCCGTTCTTCCCGGCCCGCCTCCGCACCCACCACAGAGACTTCTGTCCCCTCACCTCTGCCTGTAGCCCGCCTGCAGCCACGAGGCCCTCACCGCCACCGGGGACCGCCTCTGTCCCCGTCCTCCTGTCTCCCGCCGTGGGCTTCTGTCCCCAGGCCGCACAGCGCCCTGCCTGAGGCCACCCGAGGCCAGCTGAAGCTGGCTAAGGCCACTAGAGGCCACCTGAGGCCACCTGAGGCCACTTGAGACCACCTGAGGCCACCTGAAGCCAGCCAAGGCCGCTAGAGGCCACCTGAGACCACCTGAGGCCACCTGAAGCCAGCTAAGGCTGCTAGAGTCCACCTGAGGCTGCCCAAGGCCACCCAAGGCCGCCCAAGGGAAACCCTGGGGCATCCTGGCCACACCCAGCACAGCTGAGGCCCCTTCCCTCGGCAACTCCTCCCCTGTCCCCTCCCTCCAGCCACACGCCAAGTCTCGTCCCTTCCAGGCCTGACCCGCCGCCCCCACGGTCCAGGCCAGCTTGCCCCGGGCCGGCCGCCTCCCAGGCCCGCTGCCCGCTGCGCAGCAACCGCTGATCGGCCTCCGCCTGCCGGCGCCCCAGGGACGGTGCCCTTGGCCTTCCCCGGGGGGATCCCTTACTCCACGTCCGATGTTCACGCCACGCCCGGGGAACTGGGCCAGCAACGCGCGACACACACGGGGACCCAGTCGGCTCACCGGCCACCAGGGACCGCGGAACTGCACAGCGGGGTCGGTTCACACGCACCGGCGGGCACCAAAGTTTAAGCCCAACTACGACTCACCTGAAGCCCCAGCGCCGGCTTCACGTCACTTTTCAAGGAACGCGACGTTAAAGACGCCACGGAAGGGCCGCCTGCCTCCCCGCCCCGTCCCACCGCCTTCCTTGCTCCTCAGAGGAAGCAATCACCCCAAGGCCTGTGTGCATGGTTCCCACGCGTATTTTTAGACTTTTGCCATTTATATTTGGCTCCATAAGCCACAGACTTACAGGGACACTACTCTGGGTGTCCTAAAAGCTCACACAAGTAGAATCACACTGTACCGACGACCACACCACTTCCTGATCTCTTTCAACCTTATCTTCAGGACGTACCCACATGGACACGGGCAGGGGCGGAATTTTTAAATCCTTTATTTATTTTTTTAAAAGATTTGTTGTTGTTGTTATTCATGAAAGACACAGAGAGAGGCAGAGACACGGCAGAGGGAGAAGCAGGCTCCGTGCAGGGAGCCCGATGCGGGACTCGATCCTGGGTCTCCAGGGTCACGCCCTGGGCCGAAGGCGGCACTAAACAGCTGAGCCACCCAGGGATCCTTTTTTTTTTTTTTCTTAAATTTTTAACTGTGGTGAGGTTTTCCCTTGTGTGAATGCCCCACGGTGTACACGGTCCCTCCCAGGCTGGCCCACGAGCAGGCCGCCGCCGCAAGCACCTCGTGCGCACGCGAGCCGTGGGTGTGCACCCCTCCAGGGCACGTCCCCGGGCCCGGAATGGCCGTGTCAGAGGGCACGTGCTCCCACGGCTTCGCCCGACGTGGTCGGCCAATTCCCCAAATTGCGCCCGTTTCCACTCCCAGCCGCGGGCGTCACAGTCCCTGCCTTCCCACGGCTGCTCCCGCGCCCGCCGTCTCTTGACCCCGTGAGCGCTGCTGTCACTGAGCTTTCTTGGGTTTTCTCTGACTCCGGGAGAAGCGGCACGTGTTGGAAATGATACATTAGACTTCCGCGACACATACAACATCGAAAGTGAAAACCCCCGGAGGTGCCATTCCTACCAG